GCCACCCTTATTTCTTTATATTTTTTGCTTCAAAACAAAACAGATTTTCTTGTTATTTCCAAAGTCGTCTTGAGCAGTAGTTTTTCAGGCTTACAGAAGGTCTATTAATGAGTGGTGGCTCAAAACTTTTGCACAGAACTGTACTTTTGCTTGATCCCTCTTGGCGTATGTAGGACAGTAGATCAGAACGCCAGTGATGTTGTTGGTCTGTCGTCTTATACTCCATCACAAATGGCAGGTTGGCAAACACTCATATACAGGACAAATTAATCTAGTTCAGAACCAAATGAAACTCCTCGGAAATATTATGACTACATGGTCAGCAGTAACAATGGCCACAAAAAGCAGGAATGAATACACACACACACACACACACCTCATTAACCAGGTTACTGATCTTAACATAACAGGGTCACTCATCCATGAAAGTGACCAATAAGATGATGATCTTTACCACCTAACAGGATGCAAGTGGTACACAACATGCATGGCAAATCCAACTAGCCCTCGAGCACAGTCTGGCTGAAGACCCTTTAGGTCAGGGGTGTCAAACTCCAGTCCTCGAGGGCCGGTGTCCTGAAACTTTTAAATGTGTCCCCATTCTATAGAACTTGACCGCATGCTGAGGTAGCAACCCCCAACCATACTCAAGCAAATTTAAGTAAATGTAAATGTTTGGAAAAATGAGCTTCCATAGAGTCTTGCTAATGACCTACTAATTTTATTCAGGTGTGTTGCAGCAGGGACACATGGAAAAGTTTCAGGACATCGGCCCTCGAGGTCTGGAGTTTGAGACCCGCTCTTTAGGTGATCACTGTGTATGAGTTTGATTAAATTAAGACGAATACCGTAGGAGGAATAGCGATTTATGTGAACTGTGGACAGACGGACAGCAAAGACGGCCATGGCGTAACTTCACTGCTCCTTTGGTCGGATGACTCGTTAAATATATGAAAATGTGTTTTCTAATAGAAAACAGAAACACGAAGCCTCCGATCTGACCACAGCTGTAGCTGCAGCTGGCCACCTACATTTCCAATACTTTAACATTCCCACACTCACTGGTAAAATGTTTCATACATTTATAGATAGAATTTAGGATGATCCTATTTTTCAAAATGCAAAAATAAATAAACTAATAAAAACCCTTCAGGATATGTGTCAAACTGCAACAAATCCACTGTACTGATTATTTTAGTAGTTTTGAGTTTTCTGGCAACATGTTTCTTTTTTCAGAACATCTGGACGAGTACCTGAAGTCGATGGTGTTGAGTCCGATGAGCGTGTCGGCTAACAGCCCAGCTTCCTCTCCCAGCATGATCGCTCCGTCCTCATAAAACCTCCTGCGGCCAACACACATCAGTAAGACTCACTGTGTATACGAACGTGGAGTAGTGGGCAAAGACTGAGTGCGTAGGTTATAGCTTTCATTAACACAACTATAACTGGATTGAGGTTGACTGTTTGTTTAGACCTGCTGGCTCTGAAGTCCCTCAGTGCAAATGTGATGTACTCTGAAAGTCTTTTCTCCATCAGGACAACTCTGATCCACGCCCTGCCCTGCAGAGACAAACAGGTGACATGCAGCTGTTAGTGGAAGCTTCTGATATTTGAATTAAAAAAACAGCTACACGTCTAAATGTGCCTGTAAAATACGTGGCCGTTAACCATGCGGCTGTTTGCTCTCCATCACAAGTTTGCCCTTTGTTCTTTTCCCAAGAGGACAATGGAAAGCAGAGCAAATGATGACGCACTGATTCTGCACTGTGTGTGCTGCAGATCTGGATACTTTGACTTTGCCTTTGCCTTCTATCCTACAGTTTTCCTAAATCAAATATGTTGTTCAATAAAAATGATAATTTTCTGAAAAATAGAGCTTCAGAATAATCAAATCAGATCAACAGATAGTTTTATCATTACCTTCGCTCTAGATGATCGCACATTTTCCATGCTCTCAATGCTTCGGATGCAGTTATGAGGTACTTTACTGCAGGCAGCTTTTATGTAATCCCAGAAACTCCGAGGAGTCTCGTAGCCAAACCAAGACATCTGACCTGAGAGGAAAAAAAGAAAAAGAAAGAAACAAGCATTTGTATGAGCATGCATGTGCATTCATACTGAATGACCACCACAGTCAAAAGGGTATAGTAATGAAGAAGGCCCAGAGCGCATCTTCCCCGGTCAAAAATGAGACCCCATCATCGAAAAGAAGTCGCCCAGTAGACACAACGTCGCCTGCCAGCAAAGACTTTACCGACATCCTGGCGTCAATCGATAAGCGGTTGTCCAGCTTCGATGCGAGGCTGTCCCTGGTGGAGATTTGACACCATGAATTTAAATCCCTGAGAGAATCCCTGAGTTCACCCAGCAGCAGGTGGAAATGCTCGCTGCTGAAAACGGCACGCTACGGGACTCGGTCAAGTCTCTTATCGAAAATGTGGCCCAGCTTAACATAGAAAATAAAAAAAATAAAAGAGACTGTTATTGATCTACAAGCCCGTAGCATGAGAGATAACCGGAAGCAACGGTGAAAAGCTTCATTAAAACCCACCTGAATCTGCTGGAGGACACCGTGAAGAACATCACCTTCGAAAGAGTCCATTGTATCAGGGCTAAGAGGTCGGGGCCGGGAGACCACGCCCTATTGTGGCCAAATTCTCCCATTTCAAGCAGAGGGAGCAGGTGAAGAGTCACAGCAGGGAGCTGAAAGGACTTCAGCGTAAACGACCTAGGTTTGTTGGTATGCTGAAGTCCGAGGCGGCTTCATTCAGAAGGCCTCCCATGCTGTCACTGCCAGGGACCGGCTCCACGTGGATGGACAGATCCCAGCACCCCTCTGTGGCTGTAATAACTTCACTCCAGATAAGAGCCTGCTGCATTTTTTTTTCCTTTCTCCCTCTCTTGCATAACTAATCTGTTTCAGTTATTAATATCAATTTGCTAATTCAATGTGATGTCACAGCAGATAAAACGCCATAATTCTCCGTTAATGCGTTAATTAAAATGTTTTCTTTTTTCTTCTCTTTCTTTCTTTTTCATCCCTCCCACCCACCCTTTTCCTTGGTGTTCTTCCTTCTCCTTTCTTTCACTGCATCGATCACCTGTTTCCCTGCATAGTCACAAACAACACCTTCTATTTCACTCATTCACAGAGCACAACCACGCACATACACGCGCTCTACGGCAGCACATCCACAACAGCCTCACAGCGCACACAGACATATAGGACACACATCCTCAAGCGCGTTTACGCTTGCTCATATTAGTGAATATGAGCAAGACCTGGAGAAGACTTCCTGTGTGGTTCCGGTGCCAAAAATCGCACACCCCAGGGAGCCCAACCACTTCAGGCCTGTTGCCTTGACTTCTCATCTGATGAAGACCATGGAAAGGCTCATCCTGCACCACCTTCAGCCACTGGTGGGCTCAGTGTTGGACCCCCTGCAGTTCGCCTACTGTTCTGGAATTGGGGTGGATGACGCTGTCATCTACCTGGTACACCGATCCCTCTCTCACTTAGAGCAGGCGGGGAGCACTGTGAGGATCATGTTTTTTGACTTCTCCAGTGCTTTCAACACCATCCAACC